CAGGGGGGAATTGTGGGCTGTTATATTTTTTTATGCGTGCTACAATTGTTTATCCAGATCTTTTACTACCATCCCAAAAACAACTCTTTATTGCATGAACGACATGTCCCTGGTGGCTGGGGGGGGGCACAGAGGTGGTAAGCAGGGAACTCCCGCAGATGCCACCAGCACTGTCAGCAGGGGGTGGGGTGGCAAGCACTAACCAGGGGTTGGCAACCACCTGCAGACACTGCTGAAGCAGTCAGCAATTGCTGACTGCCTGCAAAGACCGCTGGTGGTGTCAGCAGTGGGGCAGGGGTGGCGAGTGGCAACACTGTCAGTGGCGCCTTTTCGTAGGGGGTGCACCGCCACGCTCAGGGGGTTCATGTGCACCCCCCACGCATCATCAGTGCTTTATTGTCATGTTCTTCTGCATTTCTGCCATCAGTTCATGAGTGTGTGTTTTTGTCTGTGCCCCCATTAAACTCATACATAACCCCATATGCTGGTCTGAGAGAGTCTCCCACCTTCTGGAAAGCAAGTGCTTCAGTGATGTGATAAGAAGTGCCTGAGAAACTTTTCTTCCAGATTGGAAACCTTTAATTCTTTTCAAGACATGATGTTATACAATAGTCAGACTCAAAAGCTGCCGATAGATGTGCTGATCTGCACTTTAATTAAAACGCTCCAGCACTGTCTTACTGTCACATGTACTAAGCCTTCCCCTGCATTTTAAAATGGCCATGGGGGCACTTTAACTAAAGCTTATTGAATGAACTTTAGTTAAAATACCCCTGCAGCTATTTTAAAATGCCAGGGGGGCTTAATGCACGTGACAGTGAATCATTAATAAGAGTGGCTATCAGGGAACTGCTGTTTAAAACAGCCCCTCCCCACCCCTGAGAATGTGTATAGGCACCCAAAGTGTCACACTGAATAGTCAGATTCTAAAAGCTGTATTAACAAGGGATTTATTAAAAATAGTGAACACTGTTGGAAAAGAGGCAAATTTTAAAAGTGTGCAATTGTTAAGCTAGCTGGGTCCATTAAAATGAGAAAGTGAGTATAAGTACTCTCTCCGGCCATTACTTAGACTGTATAGCTCAGGGATGCATCATCTGATGCATGGGTCTCAGGAACTCCAACGTATCACAAACGATTCAACAGGGATTTAAATTTTTGAAGGTACTGCTGTTCTCTTACAATATTAGGCTGCAATTCCCCCGAGTACTTCAGTGACACAGTGTTTAGATAGGTGTAGCATTTTAGGGTGAATATGAGACAGTGTTCCTCATATAAAGGCAAATGACTTATTTCTGCTAACTCCTCTACCATGTTCTAAAAGATATTCCTGACTTCCTTGTATTGCTAGATCTTGCATTTGAAAGGCTACTCCACTTGCACTAACAAAAACCTAGACAATTGGCTAAAGGCGTGAGAATGACTTAACATCGGTGTATGCACAATGGAATCTTACAAACACAAATATTGTAATTTCATTTCCCAGTAGCCTTACTGCATATAAAACATGAATTAATAGCAAATACCAGAATCTCCCTCAGAGCTCCTCAGATTGCTTCTGTTATTTTAAGTGGGCTATTTTGGATTTCTATTTAAGTTTTGTTTGGCAATGAAAGTCCCTAGTCATTTTTTAAGCCTTTTTCCTTAAGATGCATCCTTGTGCATTATACATTTCAAAATAAGATTTATCGTTCTTGAGACAACTGGTAAGGCTCCTAGACCATCTGCTTATTGTCTAAGGCCCACTGACCAAACACATTTTACTTTTCCTTCGGCAAGTGACTCAAATATCCATAAGAACTCGCTGAAGTGAAAACACTTTGATGTAGCCTAAGTATATTTCTTCGAATATTGTATATTATCTCCACCAATCTAGACGTTCAGAGCAGTAGGTTAGCGGCTCCTCATCTGTGAAATATAGGTTAGAATGGTCCAAAATGCCCGCCTGACTTTCAAAAAAAGTCACCAAAAGCTCCAATATTCTCAAATCACGTTTTAAAACAATGCACAGATTTTTCAAGTATGTGTACATTCCAACTCCTATAAGTATCTATCATGCCTTGCCCTTAGTCTCTTGAATCACTGAAACTCCTTTGAAAGCGATACCCACTGTGCTCTAATTCTAGGTCTGGTTAAGATTACAAAAGAAAAAATAGTAAGACTTTTGTCTGTTTTTCTTTCTCCAAAAACCTCCCACTATCTCTATTTGATTCCTACTTGAAACAGTGCTGAGGCAGAAATGGAGATGCAAGAACATATTAGGATAAAAGCAGTTGTTAAAAACTTTTAAAGATTCTCTAACATACAGAAAACCTGCCTTTCAGTTCTTTCTAAACTCTGCCTGCAGAATATAACACAGAAAATATCTATCTGTATTATTCCATGCAGGGACTCCATTTCCCCTAGAAGGCAAAACTTAATCCTCATCCCTCACAACTGTGCCCACAAACTCTTCCATGCTTTTGCCTTATTTTCATATTTTTTGTTCAAAAACTCTCTTATGTTCCACATTGATATGGAATGTAGGGTTCTTCACATTGTTTCATAGCTAGCCTCTTCTTGAATTAGCTGAAAGCTATTAAATTTAGTAAGTACTCCAGAACAAGCTACCCTCTGAAAGCCTTCCTTTTTTCTGATACCTCTCGTATATACATGAATCTAACATGAAATCCCCACCCCCACAATCAGCATGGGGAAAAAGCCCCTTGTCTAAGATTCACGTACAAAGAGGAAAGGGGGGGGGCAGGCAGCTGAGCCCAAGTCAGGGCTACAGCAGCCTCCACTTGCTCTCTACAGCTTTTGCTACCCCTCTGCTCCCTTTCCCCACCCCTGCTTGGGTTGAATTCCCTCCTGGGCACCGAGTACAGAGAAACTCTGTACTCTGTCTGGCCAGTCAGAAGCACTGACGCTGCTGCATGGCCCAGCAAGGGCTACACTTCCACATACTGTGCTCTGTAACCCAGCAGGATGCAGAGCTCGAGCAGCATCCAACAGTAAGGCAGGCGGGAGGTGAGGGGAGGCAGAGACTATGGGGAGCAGAGCAGAAGGGACAGATTGTGGGGCACAGAAGACAGAAGAGATTGTGGGGAGAAGGAGCAGAAATTATGGGGAGTGGTGGGAAGGGGCAAAGTCGCCACCTGCCACACCCAGTCACTGCATTCCCTGATATAGCGGTGTGAGGGAGACAGATTTAAGATAACCCTCCAAGAATTAGATTCAATACCTGAAATGTTATAAAAATTTTATACATTTTCCACATATAGAATCTAATTATTGTGCTGGGGGGGGCATCTTAAATTCAGGGTTGACTTAGATTTGAGTGAATATGATACTTCTTGCAGACACAGGGTGAAGCACTGCTTAAAACTCCCAGTTCTTGTTCATATTTCTAGAGAGTTTCAACACTGCTGGGACCTTAACAGCACCATTCTTTCACTCAGGGAATTTTCTTACATTTGCTGTTGTCCTAGTACTGTGTGTTGTTCGGTAACCACTCAGAGCCAAGAAGTCTGACAGACAGATCTGCTATACTTGGTGCCTGACGTCTAACTGGTCAGCATCGCATAACATGAACCTACTGCTGTATAACATAACCATTACACCCTCTTAAAAGCACAGTTCTCCACATTGTTAGCACAGCACTAATGGTTTGCTGTAGGATTTTATCTGCTAGCAACCCTGAACAAAGATTAATGCAATAAACCTGAGCAGAGAGCAGTGAAAAGCCCGTCTAGGGGTGCTCCGCCCTCACCAGGCAGAGACTAGTTGGGGTAGAGTGTGGGTTGGGGATGGCCCAGGACCCCCTCTTGCCGTGTGCCATCCCAAGCCATGACTCCCCTCTCCACCTGAGCAAGGAGCAGGGGAAAAGCCTGGCAGGGGCTGCTCCACACCACAACCCTCTACCCAGCTGGGGGTGTAGGCCAGGGTGGGGTTTAAACCTTCCCCAACCCCCACCTACTCAGCAGGCCAGCCTGGGCCTGGCCACATACCCCTTAGCTTGAGCAGGGAGGGGGGAAAGGCCTCAGAGAGCTTCTCTCCCAGCTACCCTCCCTTCCTTTCCACAGTGGCCAGAAGGCATGCTCTAGAGCCCCCCAGCTTCTGGCCTGAGCCACTGCAGGCATGTGGTCGCATTTCCAGAATCAAAAGTAAATGTCTGTCCATTTGCTTATCAGTTCAATCTAAACAGCTTAGGCTAATGTGAGACGATGGAATCGATTCAGCAGGCTTTTAGATTGTCTGTACTTAACACTGCTGCTACCCAGCCATGCAATCCAGCCTGCAATCAGTGTTCTGCAGTTTACAAGTGGCAGGCTGATCCCTTACTGCCATGACAGCCATCCCAGGTTTGCAGTACCAGGTACAATCACCAAGTTAACTGGTCCAAATTGTCCCTCACCTAGCTTTTGGACAGCACTTTTTGGTGGAGGCTGCACTGGGGAGGCAAAAGAGCAGCCCTCCAGAGCAGGGATGCCTACAGCAGCAGCAGGGATCTGAGAACTGCTGCAGCATCCAAACAGGCTGTGGTCTGCCATCAGTAAAAGCTTGCCAACCCCCGTTACAAATGAGGTGGTGGGAAGGGAAGTGGGGAGAAGGCGTGTGCCAGGGACAACAGAGGCAAGATACCAAATACTGTAAGAGTTGCAACATTTTCATCCAGATGGGAGGAATGATTACAACTTGCCACCTGCTTGGCCCGTATGAAAGCTGCTGAAGTGCACAACAAAAGGCACCTCCTTGACCCAAGGCTCCACCCACCAAAAATCAAAGTCCTGTTGCAAATGATAGCTAAAAGTAGGCTTGAAGAAAGAGTTCAGAATTTTGTTATACGCTTGAATGTGAGGAAGTCTAAGTAGGTGGAGAGTGTCACTATGGTTCCCCATATACTATCTGTTTTACAAACAGATTGGTAATACTAATGCAACATTTCCCTTCTTTAGCTTATAACTTAGGTTTGGGCACAATAGGGCAATGATCATCAAAATTAAACACAGCTGGTGTACCTGGGATGCTCTGTCTTCTCACAGCCAATGCTCCATCAGGTGGTTTGGCTTGGTTTGCAGATTTAGTATAAGGACTCTCATCTAGGAAAAAAAATAAGCCACGTGAATCCAGTGAAACTTCAGTTTTAGTTGAAACATATCATGATTTTATAACATGCTCTAATTTCAACATAACTCATGGTGGAACTACACATTAACTTATTTGCTGCAAAAATAAACTGCTTGATTATACACTAGGAACACCACTCACTGGGGGACCATTTTTCCTGAGTGTTAAAGTGGGATACTATGTTTTTCTCCCCCTCACCTCTCAAAGGCAAAGAGGGGGAGGAGAGGGCAATGCAGCAATGGCAGAGCACCGGAGAAGAGTGCAATGCTGGGGTGCCGTGGGATGCCAGAGGACCAGCCAAACCCTTTTGTAGCGTTTCACCAGAGAGTGCTGCTGCATTCCCACTGGAAACAGAACAAAAACATTCATTTGCTAAACCGACAGGACACTCAGGATAGGTGCTTAAACAGGACATAAAGTCACCCTAACTATTACCCTATCAGAAATTCAGAATTCCTTTAGTATACTATTCAGGGAAGTACCAAAACCTTACACACTCTCCAAATACAAGAATTGTCACTAGGTAAACTGGAAAGGTCAAGAAGGACCTTTTAGCACACACATTCTCTCTTGTGACAAAGGCAGCAAACTCCAGCTGAGTCACAGAGGAGGATAGCACAGTCTAAAACTCAAACCGCAAATTCTCTTTAAGTCTGGCTGTAGGAAGTCTCACTTGTTTTACTTTAAAATGACCTTGGGGAAGTAGAGACTTTCCCCTTTTCACTTGAAGAAACCTTGCCCTTTTTTTAATGACTTCTAGTGGGAGACTATCCATATTCAGCACAGAGACCACAAAGCCAGAAGCTTTACCCCTTTATCAGAACTCCGGCTGTAAGAAGCCATTCCTTTGGATGTGGGGATCTGCACAAATCTTTTCTGTTATGGCAAGTGATCTGAGAGACTCAAATTGATAGTCTGGCCACGCACCTTCATGCTGTAAAGATGGCAGTATGACACTTGCTAGCGGACATTACTGGGGTTGATCATTATCAATATATCTTTGAGACCTACTGGGTGGGCGTACAATAAAGGCAGCATTAGGTAGCAATGAGTAGCTTCCAGGATCCCTTGCAATACAATCAGTGGGGAAAAAAAAACAGTTGACACAGTAACTTTAAATATAAATAACAAGCTATAAAAACAGGAGAGATATTCTGCTAAGAATGATGTGTGTAAATCAAGCATTAGAACAGACAATATTTACTTCATAACCTCTGTCAAAAGGAAAAAATAAGAGGAAAACTAGACTCCTGCTTTGCTTGTCTTTTCATCTGATTCTCAAAAAGCTCTAAAATGCACTATCAAATGCTTCTACTTGAAGACTTCAGGTTAGAAAGGGCCAATTAGTTTTCAGCATATGCATAGGTTCAGGCATGAATATAGATCAATGTGTAAAGGAATCAAAGTTATCTTGTGTGACATATCGAGATGCAACAGAAACCATCAGATGAATAATATAAACATATTTTGGGCAACTGACTTTTCTTTCTAACTGACCCTCTTGAGATTTCTTGCCCCCTTTGCTGATTACAACATTTGTGACTTGTAAAGGCTCAAAATCCTTCTGAATACTTACATCAAAGATGGCGAGTTCCCTCCTCCCACCCCCATTTTCAAGCAAGCAAAATAATGTTTGGTCAGCATAATTTAAAGCCAGGTCTGATATAGAAGACACTATGAAGAACAGTTCAGGTTTTTAAACCACAGACTCTCTGCAGTGATTTCTTTTCTGTAAGGCAAACTCAGTAACAAAAAGAGCTTGTGGAACATCACCAACAAGATAAAGGACTGTTGTAGCCCTGCAGCTTGAAAAGAATGCAGTAACTAATTAGGAGTATACACATGACATCTTAACAGCCAGATACCATTGCTTCTGCCACAACAAAATTAACTCCTATTGCCACAGGACTATCATCTTTGCTGGAAAAGTAACAAAGGCTCTGTATACGCTGGATACTATCATGAAGCCAAAAAAAGAAAACCAACAGACATAAAACATGCACTTACATAGAAAGGAGAGGGTTGTCCTGCAGTCATGCATGTTTTCAGAAAGAGGCAGACTTTGGACAAGGACCCATTAATACTTCCATTTGAAATAAATAGAAAATCTAATGTTAGTGTGCTGGGTGGGATGCATTGCCACAGGTTTTTGAAGCTATCCAGAGAGTAGTTAGTGCTCATGAAAGAAAATGGATAGGTTCTCCAAATGCCCATCAATACTTCTCAACACTAGCATTCAGGGTACTTGAATATGGACTAGTTTGGTTACTGTATCCATTTAATCTTTAGCTGTATCTTGTGAGAGGGTGTTATGAGGGCAGATATGGAGAGAGAGACTTTTCTATGAAGAAGTCAATAGAGATCATAATCTTATTTCACAAAAGCTCATGAATGTTTGTGACTTTTGGTCACTATTGTCTGGGCCACATTTTAATGGGTGATGTACATATTATTATACTGAACAAAATAGCCGTCTCTGTTCATTTTGTTAAATATGAAATTTATAAATGGAATGGAGAGAGGACCAAAAGCAAGGAGGAATTCCCACAACCAAATATTTCCCATTCAAGCCTGGTTTTTAAAGAGATGAATAAATAGACTATCTTCTTTCGTGACAGCATAATCTTCCCTGTACCCAACTGCACCTTGTGGTTTCTTGGTCTTGGAATCAAGCTTAATGTGCTTTCAGTAAATTCCTTGATTTGCTGGTGCCTGGGCAGATTAAGTGATTAATTTGTACTGAAAATATTTCAAAGAAACAATGCATGTTATTGCCCTGTGAAGGAAAAAAAAAAGGACCAAGGAGCCAACACCATGAAAATGTTAAGGGGTGAAAGGTCAGTGAGCATCCGTCTACCACATAATAATTAAAGATAAGCTACTAGGATCAACATGCAAGAGCAAAGCAGGAACCCTATTATTCAGGTTAATTTATATTCATACTAAGAAGCATAAACTGTCACCATCTACATATATAAACTAATGCTAAGAGGAAGGCATTTATATATAGGCATGTAGCAGGGCACTAAGGTGCCTGCTATTGACAGACAGGAATAGGGGCTCAGCTGCCCGTCACCAGGGCAGCACAGGTGCGGGTTGCCAGGACAACCAGTCTGGTCAGCTGACCAAAAGGGGGCAGGGCCTGGCCTTTATAAATAGTGAAGCTGAGGCCAGAAGGGCATTTCCCCCTCTGGCAGTTCAGGAAGGAGGAGCTCTGTTAGAGCAGGGAAGCCTGATGGCCTGAGAACCTTTCTGCTTGATGATACTGGGTGGAGGAGAACCCTAGCAGGGATATATATGAAGGTTAGCCAGGCGGCTTGGAATTTGTGTTGAAACACGGGAGTGGTAATTTTCTGTTTCGTTGCTGTTGTTACACCGGAGGACCGGGTGAGGCTATAAGGGGTGGAGGAGGCCTCATAGGGACCCTGCAGTAGCGTGGGGGGTGTTCCTGGTGCTGCAGAGGGCGCAGCTTTGGTAGGGGGCAGTGAGAAGCCCCGGAGTGAGAGACTGGAGGACCGGGTGAGGCTGTAGGGGTTGGAGGAGGCCTCGGGGAAGCTCCCCAGTAGTGGGGGGGAGTTCCTGGTGCTGAAGAGGGCGCTGTGTTTTGGGGTGTCCCGACCCCGGCCCCAGTGTGGGCAGCTTTGGGAGGAGCCCAGTGTGGACGTAGGCAAGAAGCCCCAGTGGCGCGTAGGACCCAGAAAGAGGGTCTGGGGGCCAGGTAAGGCTGAGGCTGCCTGAGCCCCAATTGCAGGAAAGCCCCAGTGGGGCGTAGGACCTGGAAAAGGGGTCCTGAGGGCCAGGTAAGGCTGAGGCCGCCTGAGCGCGGGTGACAGGCCCCAGTGCGGGCGACGCGAGCGTGGGAGACAGGCCCCAGTACAGGCGACAGTAGGACTTACGGGTAGCCCCTAATGCTAGAGTGCACCAGGGCAACTGGACACGTAGGCACTGTGTCAAAGCAAAATAGAAAAGGCAGCCTCCCCTAAACATTTAAACCATCAAAGACATGGCGGGCGAGATTGGTGAGGGTGCATTGACACCGGCTTGACACGGTAGCCAGGGGGCACTAGGGGAGGTCACGACACCCCCAGGCCCCGTCCTGTCACAAGGCAACCCAAGCGTCTCCATATCAACTGGCCAGGCCATTGCAGCGAAAACTGAATGGAGAGGACACTCCATCTTTGCTACCTGCATGGGTACAACACAGAAGGGGGAAGTCATGGGTTATAAGCTCAATTCAGCTGGTGTAGAATAGAGCACCACAGATCAATTCGTTGGTGGGAGGAACCAGTTGTGTTCCACTGCTCAGCTACCACCCTCCTTAAGCTGGGCGGGTCCCCAGCCAGTAAGGTGTTAACCCACCATGGTCTGCGTGCCTCATTTGGTGCATGGGGTTGGATCAAAAGTCGAAAAACAGAGGGCAAATCAAGTACCAAGCAACAAGAAAAGAAACCTGGAAAGCTTCTGGCTAGGAAGCTGAAATGTCAGGACCATGTGTCCTGGCATGAATAACAATGTAGAGATGATGGACAAAGTCTGGAAGACCTCAATTATTGATCAAGAGCTGCAAAAACTTAACATTGATATTGCAGCCTTGCAGGAGACAAAACTGGCCAACTCATGCTCAATTTGTGAGGCCAACTACACCTTTTTCTGAGACAGCAGGAGTGTAGAAGATACTCACCTACATGGTGTCAGATTCACAGTTTGCAACAGGTTGGTCAAAACCATCAGGACCCCCACTAGAACATCAGATCAAGCCATCTCACTCCGAATACAGTCAACTAACAGTCTTAACATCATTAGTGCCTATGCACCAACTTTACAGGTAAGTTCGGGTGATAAAGATAATTTCCATAATGCTCTGCACAAGTCATTGAGCACCTACCATCAAATGAGAGGCTTCTCCTCCTAAGGGACTTTAATGCTTAAGTAGTGCAGATCACAACTTGGCCAACCCACCTGGGACATCATG